GGGCCTGGCCATCCCGCTCCCTAGGAGCTCCCGAGCATCCATGGTGCTCCCGGGCCCTGGCCATCCCGCTCCCTTCCTGCCCTCCGACGCTAAGCAGGGCCTTGGGCAGCCCGATACTTGCAGCCCGATGCACCAGGGTGCCCTTGTGCACTGGTTTTGAAGGCCATGGGTGCCTCCAGCTTTATTTTTAAGGCATGTAGCAGTTGAAAATCTGGCATAGCAGCTTCATTTTGTGGCACTTAAGCTTTTGGGCTTACAGAAATAATCGTTTTGATGAATTTTGAGCATCTAGTAGAGGGAGAATTTTACTTTAAAAAGGCAAATTAGGAGGTAGCCATATGTGAAAGTAACCAGGTTTAAGAAGCTGTAGTTAACAAAATACATAGATAACATTTTTTTTGATCAATTTAAACTCTTTAAACAAAGCAGAATGGAGAAAAGGGAAAAAAAGGGAGTTGAGAGTTAAGATTAAATAAGATTATTGTAGCTTTGCTAGCAGCAGCCTTTTAAATGTAAGATTACAGTCCTGCCCTTGCTGGCTGTACTGCATTGGGGTAGTACTTAAAGATTTTTATGTAGTTATAGAGATTTATTATATGTCTATGTAAACAGGTATGTGTGTGTTGTTTCTGCATAGTAACAATTTTAAGTTATTTATACATGAAAACACAGTAAATGTGACTGGCAGAGGAAGTGCCACAAGTGAACTTGTGTGTTTTGAATAAGATTTAAACTAATGGAAGCTGTCTTCCCATGCTTTGATATGAAAATGCACTTTTAGTGCTGTAGATGTTGAGTATTAACCTACATTTGAATTGCACAAACCAATATCAGAGTGCAAAGCAGCAGAGATCTGTTTTTGTTCCTATCAAATTGTGTAAGATTGCTTTTACTGCTTAAATTATTTTTTTCTCTCTCTTTTCAATTCAATAATCCACCTATTCTACTCAATATTTTTATTCTTAGGAATCCTTACTCTGTAACTGTTGTTGGTGTATACATTTCAGTATTTTTTAAAAGTCGTTATGTATGTAAAATAATGAAAATATTGGATCAGTGAGTATTACTTGATCTAAATGCTTCCTTCACTTAATAGCTGTATCTTGTTGTATACTCTATCCTGCTGCCTGTAGCTCTCATTACCCAACTTGGCCCAGGTGGCACCTTCTCCCTTGGGGAAGTGAATGAGGGAAGTACTTGTGGTGAGAAGTGGCCTTGCCCTCAAAAGGGAGGAGGAACCACCAACCTCTCTTAAATGTCGAGCTGGCTTTTGGAAGTCACGATTCCTTTGCTTAGTCAGCAGTTGTACCAAGCACTTCTTATGAGCCAGTCTGTAAAAAGCCCCCTCCTCCCCCAAACTTCTCCAAATCCTATTTTGCAGAGGCCTTGCAGAGGCTGCGCAGCTCTAGTCTTGCTGCTCCGTATCTGTCAGTTCTCCTTAGCAGCTCCCCGTCTGCAACCAGCCGCTTTAGCTGACAGACCGTCCTTATCTCTCTCCCCAGCCCACAGGCTAGGGAGAAGCAGCCGTCTGAAGGGGAAATGAAGTTTACTTTTAAAACCCCTTTCCACAGCACTTCTCCGTTTATCATCAGCTAATGTGGTGGAGCTGGAGGGGTAGACTCCCCTCCACTCAAAACTACCACCCGAGTGTATGTTAACAGATTTATCTCCGTGCTTGCGGTTGTGTGCCTTGACCAGTACATAACCCTGACCTTCGAACTAGGCTTTGGAAGAGGTCATCTCCCTGCAGTGCTCTTGAGATCCAGCTGAGCCTTCACAGGGTGAGGTGGTGGGTGCTTGGGTGCTTTTGAAACCCAGTAGTGGCTCCGTGTTCCTGATAGCGGAGCCAAGAAAGAAAGGAGCCTTGGATGTTGTCCCCAGGCGCAAATCTTAAGAAACTTTTTGTGCAAACAGGGTGGGACCATCAGCTCTGCTGCCAGGGTAATTTCCCCCACCCCCGCAGCGTCTTGTTCTGCTTTTTCATCTACTTCTCTCAGTCCTTAACTACTAGTTTCTCATAGCCTACCTGTGGATTCCAGTATTAATGTGGACTAAGAGAGCACTGAAATAGGTCACTAGCTTCCCTGCCACCTGCTTCTGTCCTTGCTCTCCTCTGCTCAAAAGGATAAAGATTTTCTTGAACAAAAACAAAACCATCTTCTCTATAAGCCCTGTGTCACTTAGTTTCGCTTTGACCAAGGCAAACTGAATATGAAACCTCATGGCTTTTGCATATTGGAGAAAAGTGTGTAAGCGCTACAAGAGTTTTCTAAGGCTGAGTATATGATTTCCTCCACAGCATTTGTGAAGGGTTTTGGGGTGGCTGAGTCAGATGTGTCGTGTGCCAGGACATTTTGCTAATCTTGCTGATCTAGTAACCGTTATGTTTCTTGGGAAGAAACAAACTGATAATACAGCTGTAAACTGGAACGTCTGTAGCAGGATATCCAGTTATCTAAGTGAGACCTGCCAACCATCCATCGTGTCCAGCATGGTGGACCTTTATGAGCTGTATTGTAGATGCTGCATTTAGCTTGAGACGCTGTCAGGACTTACCAAAGTTCAAATATGAAGATGCCTTGAAAGCTGTCAGTGTTTCTATTTAATGAGAAGCAAATGGAGAGGGCATATCTTTATTCTCCTTTTCATCCCCCAGGATAAAGCCCCCTTAAACCTGGGGAGGTTCCCAGTTTGGTTCTTGGGCCTCCCGTAAATGCAGGTTTTTAAGTGTGAAGGTTGCGTGTCAGGGTGGCGCAGGCTTTCTGTGCCATAGCAGATGCTGTTTGCTGCAGCACTGCTCTGAAAAGCAGCCATTGTTTGCTTGGTATCTTAAATTTGCTGAGACAGCAGGATAGGAATAGAATATTTGCTTACCTGGAAGGCTGGACAGCTCTAGGATGAGGCAGGAGAAGGGACCAAGTGCATGTATGTGCCCATCTACCTTCTTGGACCAGTTCTGAAAAACCTAAGAGTTGCTGCTTGCAAGTGGGAGTAGCATGTTTTACATATGTAGAAATCTATATTTGCCAGTACTTAAAGCATCACCTGTGCCCAGCTGGTAGGATTTGAAAACTTGCCCTTTAAGTAGAGAGAGCAAAACAAAAGTTCAGTTTGATAACGGCCTTTGAGAAGAGCCCTCAGAGCTGGGGTTGAACTACAGGAATTTCGTGACAGTGAATTTGGTGTTTAGTCTGCTGGACCTGCCTGTTGTTGAGATTTCACTGTTTGCTCCATACAGAACAGTTCAGCAGCCTGTTGATGGCCAAAATGAAACCCGCCTTGCAGCAACCTTAACCTTGTTACACTCATTTAAGAACTGCTGTTTCAGTTGTCCAAATTCTAAAACTATTTTCCACAGTTGTGGTTTTCAGTTTCCAGCTCCCAAACTTCTTCAAGGTGCCCCCATTTGTGCTTCTGCCGTGGTGAGCTATGCCCAAGTAATGATCTGGATAGTTAATGTGGAAAGCAGCAAAGAGAGGGGACACGGAGCAACACTGCTGCTTTACACTTCTGCAATGATTTTTGGATCCTAAGGCCACACCATGTTCCTTGTACCTCTCCTGTATTCTCATTAAAACAGAATGAAGGACTGATGGGCTTTCCTTAGAAATTTAATGTGTGGACTTGTCAGATTTGATAGCAGTTTGTGACATTTTTTTTTTCCCACCAGATTTGTTTTTTTTTCAGTGCTATTTGTTAACTGAGGGAAGACTGATCTTTCATTACTTGGCCGAAGTCTCTATTGACTTTTTGGATGCAATTGCAAAATAGTTTAAGCAGTTTCTAGGGTTGTGGGTTTTTTTTTTTTTGCTTGGTGTTTTTTGTTTGTTTGTTTATTTAATTCATAATATTTTGCAATGTTGGATTTAAGTAAATCCCCTTTGTACCATGTGCCCACTTTTAACTTGCTTCCTGAGGAACTTCTGGATGAAATAAAGCCCTAAGCTACTACATGACAAATAATTGTGGTAATCAGCTTTCGAGAGTTGATATGATGAATTGTTTACGTTCCATGGATTCCTAAACTTAGAAAGGTTTTGAATATTTCCTTCCTGGCCTTTCATGGGCTCACTGGGGAAGGTGAAATCTGCTCTCGCACAGGCGCATCAGGGCAGTGCATTTCTCCATTGAGTTACCTGTTTTTAAGTGACCAAAACCCTCGTTGTGCATTCAGGTTGACCAAAAGCTTTTGGTCAACAAAAATATTTGAAAGCATTAAAAGCAGCAGCTCTAAAGGTTTGGTGATCTCTTTCTTCAAGATAACGTGTGTCTGTTGCATGTCAAGAAGAAGCATTTTCTATCATCTTTCATCACAGATCCAGCCTGGGTTGCTGCAGGATCTGTTGCTTATCTCATCTCTGCTCTTTTAAATTCAGAGTCCTGACTTCTGTTAATTATGCAGTATATGCACAAATGCTAGTTGAGGCTAAGTACTCTGCTCTTTTTGGAACTACTGGTTTTCATACATTTCCTCGCTAACTTCATGGGGCTTTTCTCTATTCTTACCCTCCTACTGGGTGTCATGCTGTGCACACGTGTTCCTGTATCAGCCTCCCCAGACGTTTGTAACTGCCAATCATGGTGGTTCTGCCTACCTGGATTGTCTTATTTAATTTTCATTTTTACTTCAGAAGCCAATTCTGGTTTCTGATAATCTGTGCTTGTGTGTGGTGGGTTTTTTGGTGGTGGTCGTGATATCTTTTTTTCTTCTCTAAACCCCTCAAAGTTGGTTTAAAAATGAAGAGGGTTGTAGAGATGGCAGCCTATAGAGTGACAGCCTATAGAGTATTGTACTGTGGAAATGCTTTAGGTTGCACGAGGGTCGGCACTGATGTACTGTTGCCTAGTGGTTGTGAGGGAGGGCAAAGTAAACTTAGGTTTGTTTTATGCTAATACTAACCATTACTTATTTATTTCAAGGTTGTGCCTTTTAGAGACTATATTTGCTTATGGTGTTTTAGGATTACCTGTTTGGTTTTCCAGCTGAGCTTTCGTGATCTCTTGCAGCAGAGCTCCCACCTCCGTATACTGCAATCGCGAGTCCGGATGCCAGCGGGGTTCCTGTAATAAACTGCCGTGTGTGCCAGTCACTAATAAACTTGGATGGCAAGCTACACCAGCATGTTGTCAAGTGCACAGTTTGCAATGAAGCTACGGTAAAAATGGATCTTTAGTATTTCCTTTTTGTGCAGGGAAGGGGGTGGGTAGAACTGTGCAGTCGCTGGAATTCATGTCCTTACCTGCAAAGGGTGAGTCACTTGCTGACATCCCTACAAAGGACCTGTCAGGGGATCTTGAGCGTGCAAGCATGTTCCAGGATGCTGGCACACAAGGGTGATCATAAGCAGCTAGAATAAATCTTCATAAATAAATCTCATTTTGAGGCAGAGGATAAAAAGCAAAGATTTTTAAGTAATTACTCATGTGTAAAGAATGTTGAAAGAAATAAAGCATTTAATTATTTTAAGAGTAGAAGAAACAAAAGTGCCCGACTCTTACATGTTCCCCTGGAACTGTGCTTTCCTCCTGAAATACATGCATTTAATTTGTCAGGAGGCTAACAAATGGCAGCAGGGTATTTTTAAAACATAGGAACTGCGGGTTTTGTTCCACCTAGTGCAGCAGTTACAGGCCCTTCTGTCCCTGAACTTCTCCCTCCCCCACCTTTTTATTTCGAGCCTTTAGTTCTTGATATCCTAGTAGTTTTCCTGCCTGACAGTTTGGGGATCCGACGCTGCAGTGGTCCACAGCTGGTTGGGGACATTTACATGGAAAACAGCTGATTCTGATTTTCTTTCTTTTTTTCTTTTTTTTGGTTGTGCAAGGATAGGAGGAAATATTTAAATCGTATCCAAAGAACAGGGTGCCTTAGATCTGTAGAAAACTATTTTTTTACTTAAGAGAGTAGAGAATTTTTCCTTTTAATATATAATGTTTCAGGTCAAACAAAGGGTAGTGCAGCGTTTGAGATCTATGATCCTGTTTGAAAGGGACCCAGAAACTTGACTGCCAGCTTTGAGGAAGATGCTTTCAGTACAACTTACACTAAGATTGACAGTTCAGCAATGTCTGCATATTCTCTTAGCACCTGTGAGCCAGACTTTGATTCTTTTATTTCTGAATAAAGCCATTGTACCAGGCAAGGAAGCTTTCTTGGTATTTTGACTGTTTTTCAAAAAATATACCTTATTATTGCTTAAGCTTACATTTGAAAAAAGAACTTATACTGATTTGAATTCCTTATTGCTAAAATACGAATTTCAGTTAGTTTGCAGAATCTCGTTTGTTGCTAGTGATGTTCTGGTGAAAAAATATGCACCTTATTTTTCTTTCGGGGAAGAGAGAGAGAAAAGTTTTGTCCTGAACTGTATTTCTTTGTATTTCTTTTTTTGCTACAAATTTGTCTTGTAAGTGGTTGTGTTTTTGTTTAAACTTTTATAGGGGGTATATGGAAAAGTAAATTGCTCTGATTTCTGTTTTTTTATTATTATTATTATTTATTTTTATTTTCATTCAGCCAATCAAAAACCCTCCTTCAGGGAAGAAATACGTTAGATGTCAATGTAACTGTCTCCTTATCTGTAAGGATACATCTCGGAAAATAGGCTGTCCACGACCAAACTGGTAAGAGGAAACAAACGGTAAATGCTTTATATCACTTTCTTTAAAGCAATGGCATGTGATGCATTGAGTATTTAGAGCTAGAAGAGATCCAGGCCTGGGCAGAACTGTGCACTGGCACTTGCAGAGCATTAGGGAATTATTGCCCGCACAAATAGTGGTAATGACATTTTGATTTTTAGACCAACTTACTCAAAGAGGAAAAACTTAACTGTTCTTAGTGATAATCTAAAACATATATTTCCCATTTATTAGATACTGTATAAGGAACACGGTGTGAAGAAAACCACTTCTCACTTACGAGGAGTAGCGTTCAGAATTTTCTACAGACAGAATTGCTGCAGATACCCAGGTTGTTTGCTTTGCCTTGTTCGTATTAGAATGCAATGAGAGAAGGGGCGATAGGGTGTTTCATTCCTCTCTTCCCTTCTTTGCTATCCACAGCTAGCAGCTCTCCTCTGAACTGTGCTTTAGTTGACACATTTGCTGTGACAGACAAGTGCAGTTGCCATCGTGAGCTTTCTTACCACTGACCTTACAGCATTAAGGCTCCCACTGGGCCAGGAGTGATTGGGTTCGACGTGATGCAGCACCAAAGTGAGGGCTGGGTCTGTAGATGCTCGAGAGGAAGTTCTGTCACGTTGTGTGCCTTAGACACCAGCTTGTTGGCTCTTCTACTCTTGGGGCACTGCATGAGATTTAGGGTGGGGAGATGGGATTTCTCACTAATGCAGAATTGTGGAAAACATCAAAAAATTGCAAATATCTCTTTGAAAGGTGGTCATGGGATGCTTCAGTTGCCATGCATGGTGTGGTTGGCAACCAGGCTGAATCAGAAACTCCCCAATTTTACACCCAAATGTTTCTTGAAAGTTTGTGCCTCTTCAGCAGCTTCCTTAAGATAAGCTATTTATCTGTTTTAGTGGAAAATAAGCAAAAGCAGAGTGCTTTATAGAGAGCTGAGGAATATGCTCTAAAGGGAAGGCTTCAGCCTGAAGGGAGGCCACAATTATTTGCTGTATATGGGGAGGAATGCAGTGCAAATTCAACAATACTTTGGTTTTCCCTTCACTTCTTTTCTACCAGGAAGTCTGATCCTTATTCTGCTCTGAATTGCATAATTTGTGTATTGTCATTTTTTGATTGTCCAGCTGTACAATTAAATTGGAAACGTTAAGCGTAAATAATATTTACCTTATTTTTTCTCAAAGCATATTGATTGGTTGTGTTTAGTCAAATCTAGGTGTTTTTCTTTAATTCACTCCATTTGAATGGAACTCTTCCTATAAAAATTCAGAGAGACTACTTGTAATGTGGGAGAAAGCAAGAGAATCCTTACTCTCCTGCTTGTTTCTGTATAGAGATGTGTGTTCCAATTGACATCCTTGCTCACCGTGGATATTAAGATTTTCCTAAGGGATTTCTGTCATATGATCGAGAGCCTTTGATCTCTGCAGGGATCTGGCAGGCATGTGTGACCTTGTAATGAAAATGTTTTCAAAGTGGGAAAAGAAAACGCAATGAGAGAGACCAAAACTGGATGCATCATCTACTTGAAAGTTAGATTATAAATTAGAAGTGTAACATATTTGGTAGCGACCAACTGAGCTAATTGCTTAAATGCATCATCCTTCCCCTTTGCCGGCTTAATTACATGTACATCTAATATTCTTAACGCAGTAGACGCATCATTACTCTTGGTCCAGTAATGCTGATTCCAGAAGAGCAACCAGCTCAGCCTGCCTTGCCAGTTCAACCAGATGGGACCAGAGTGGTATGTGGGCACTGTGGAAACACATTCCTTGTAAGTAGAGCTCCAGATTCTCCTTCTTACCTAAATGTGCTCAAACCATTGCAAGTTCTTCTAAGGGTATATCACCTTGCCCTACAATATTATCAAGAAACTTAAGTTCCAGCTGTGTGCATGGATGTATAGCCTGTATTTCATTATCTGCACACACACACGTTCAAAAAACTTCCAGTGTTCCTGGCATATGTTGATGGATGAAGCTCAAAGAGTTATTTCTTAGAGGTTTTAGAATGGGCAGTGCTGGAAAAGGCACTTGTGCTTCTAGCTTCTGCTTTGACTTGCAGTGACAGTCGTGTTTCGCGGTGGCCAAGATGGTTTCTGACGTTGCCCTGTGGACCCTTGGGAAGTGTTCATCATAGCTCTTTACACATTAGCATGTCAGTTGCTGTGGGACTAGAGATTTTGGCTTGAATCTGTGCATGAAAGTTTCTTCCCCTCTTGCTGCAAAGAATGCAAAAACACTAACTTTCTAAGTAAGTTGTTTTTGTAGCCTTTTGCATAAAAAAGAGGCTGCCACGTACAAAATTGGCAGCACGTAAGAAAGTATTTTAGCTTCACCATCCAGCAGCCCTGGAGTGAGTTTGTTGGGTTTGTTGTTTCTAAGAAACAGCTGCCATGAGTGGCACAGTTGATTGACCTGCAGTCAGTTGTGTTGTTATTTGAAAGATGTAGAAGAGTCTGAGATAGTCAAGTGCCTCTTGTGAAAGGAGAGAGAGGTGGTGCTGCCTGTAGGCAGTGGGAAAAGGGTTTTCTAGTCATGGGCTTTCTGATGGACTAGACTTACTCCTTGACACCTTATTCTGTGTTCGTGGATCAGGGAAGTGAATGATGATGTATTACTATAGTAGAAGAAAAATGTAGGGAGCAGAAGGTGGCATTTTTCTTTTTAAAGAAGAGTATCAGCTTGATTTGTGAATTTACATTTAGCATTTGAGAGAGAAAGAGGAAACAAAGATGTTTGAGAAGCAGTATTTCTATTAATTCAGCCCAAATATAAACATATATGGTTAATATAATCCCTGCTGAAGAACAAGAAGTCCGTAAGTACATAACTAGGTAGAGCTGGCATGGTGCATGTGCGGGGTTGGTTATTTGCTCTGTAGCATGTTACAGACTTATTGTATTTCTGCAATTTAGTATCTCTGCATTATAAAGCAAAAATATAATGCTGGCTATATCTCTAAGCAACTTTTAAGATAATATGGTTACTTCATTTATCAGTTAAGGAAAAAAAAAAAAAACAAAAAACTGAAATAGCTGGGATGAAAAAACTTCAAATTCTGTTGCTTGTTCTCTGTTGTGTCCTAAGAGTGTCTGTTTGTCCTCCTCTTTAAAAGGAACTTCCAGCCACATAAAAGCAGAATTATGGGCTGGGCTTTCTCTGCACCCACAGGTGTGAGATGTTTGTTTTGATTTTATGCCCTTGTGGTTCTGAAAGTCAGCTTAAGGTTGTGCCCTGATAACTGTTCTTTGTAACCTATCCAAAGCACACTGTCCTCTATGGAGCACCACTAAATACTGCTTAAACAAGTGCTTAAATATGTGGTTTTTTGGACAGATGTTACGATGGTGTTTTATTTGATTACGAATAATGGAAGATGTAAGCAAATGTAGAATTGATTTAGGATTAAGTTGATGTTACAGGTGAACTATCAGTAATTACTGGCATATATTTATTTGTTGGGCTTTTATCTTGGATAGCCTGATAGCCTTTTCTGTGTTGAGGTTTCCCTTGTTTCTGGTGGATTTGGAGTTCAGACAAGTGGGGAAAATGGTCAAAGAGAAAGTGAGGCTGGGGTGGTGATGGGGCTGTCCCAATAAACTGCAGCCTGATCTGGTTTGGGCTCTTTTTAAATCTCCTCTGGCCTTGTCCTGTGGCTGAGTCCCCGTTTCAGTGTGTAGCAATTCCCCCTGCTCCAAGGGCTCTGCTTGGGCAGAGCTGTGAGACCCAGAGCTGCTTTTGGGGAGGGTGATCCCAGCTCCCCCCTTGTCTTCCTGCCGCTCTCCTGTTTCCAAGGATGTCCCCAGGGAAGACGAGCTAGGAGTGAGCTGGCGGAACCGCAGGCTGAGCGCTGTAACTGGTCAGTTGTGCTCTCTCCATTTTCTTCTCCAGAACTAATCAATTTCAAGGATTTTTATTATCATCTTAAATACTTTAAGTTCTTCAGAAAACTGAGAAATGTTTTAATTTATGTAGGTATTTTGTTTTCCAAAAGGACTCCTGAGGAGTGAAAAAAGATGTTCACAGATTGTGTGTAGCTGCATAAACCCACCAGTGAGTTTGTCTGTACCTCTACTCAGTGATTTGGATTACTGTTTTATTGTTTTATTTTGGTTAGCAAAAAAAAAAAAACTCTATTGGGAGGCTAAATATCCTGTAGCTATAACCTCAAGTTTTATTAAAAACTTGAAACAGGATTAGAATACTTCAAAGCATCTTGGAATATAAGTGAAAATACTGACTTTAAACCTCAGGTTAGACTATATGTTAAGCCTACCAAAACTCCAAGAATTAGAATTTATTTGAAAGTAAGATTATTTCCCTAGGGCATTTTCTGTGTTGCAACGAGGGTCTGAATTCTTGTACTCTGAAGCACTTGTCAAGGTGACTTCATTCCTGGTTCTCCTGAAAGCCTTCCCTGTGTCTGCAGCAGCCCTTATAACAAAAGGCTCTTCTGCGACTTCCAGGTGACTCACAATGGAAACAGGCTATGTGTGTTTCTGCTGTCTCCCACAAACTGAAGCTCCAGAGGCCTTTGAATGTATTAATATATCAATTAAAAACATAGATAATAATTCACTGGGAATCTTAAAATCCATACAGTAATCATTAGTGAGCAATGTTGGAAGTAGAGTTGCCTACCTTGGGATAAATCTGGTGTACAGAAACGAAATTCAGTTAGAGGTATTAAATCTAAGCCCTGGAATTAAGCTTCTTACTATTTCTAGAATTGTTATCTAAATAGCTAAAAGGATATCTCTGAAGAGGTTTGTCTCCATCTCAGGTAGTGACCAACTACATGTTATCTCATTTTTCCCTGTTGTAAAACCCAGAGGAGCTGATTAGTGCTTCACGTGGATGCGTGTGAGCAGCTAACCTGTTTCTGTGGCAAGAATGTGGGAGGAAGAAGTTGTGTCCATAAAATGCAGTGCTTTGTGGGGAGTATTACAGAAATTTTCAGGCTTTTAGAAGTTAGAGTTATAGGAAAACTGCCTGGCTGAGTCTTTGGGGACAAGTCCATTTAAATAGAAGGCAACCATGTGATATGTAGTGTAAATTGATAGTTTGGAATCAGAAAAAAATTGAGGGAGCTCTTTCTAGTAGAGAATTAATCCCCTTAGAAGTGAGTACACTGCGGGACACCTCCAGAAGGCTGGACAACCCTGGATACCATGGGACACAAGTTTTTGGATGCAAGTAAGATTCAACTGGTTGGGCTTTATAAAACTGTGATTTTAGGTTTGTACATAAAATCATGAATTAATTCACAGTGTTGAAATGGTGCTGTGATGTGTCTAGGTCCCGGAGCCCTAATATTCTGTGCAGTTACGGGGTCTGTAGCAGCTAGGATCCTGCTGCTCACTGCAGTAGCCTGACTTCTAGAGCAGGAGAATCTGAGTGGAGAAGGCATTAGTGTTCTGGAGCTTGTTCCTGTGCTCATAATTTGTATCATGACTCTTCCCCAGTTTAGCAGGAGAGTTTAATTCCTTAGCAGGAATTGCGCGTATACTCACCCAGGAAGCTGCCAACTACTGCCAGTTGGAGATGAGTCCCATGTTTAGACTGGGTCACCAGCAAGATCCACACCAGGATGTGACCAGAACTGCTAATTCTTGTTCATCATATCTGGAAACCTAAGAGAGAACTGGATTGATACCCCTCAGACTAGGGCAAATAGGGAGGACCTCTTCCCCTAACCTCAGTACCTCTTGACAGAATGGGATATATCTGTTAATAGACGAGCAGAACCTGAAGTTCCCCAGCTTTTGTATTTCCATCACTGGACTGTCCCGTATCATTCTGGCAATGGCAGTTCCCCGGCCTTGTTTATGTGAGAAGGGGCATGTCACAAGAAAAAAGGAAAATAATGTAGTGCTGGGAGTCAGTGGTACCAACACTGTTCAGTGTCCTCGCCCCCCATGGAGTGATGGATGTGGCTGGTTGGGGTCTGATTTGGTTTTAAGTTATATCACAGCATAACTCCTTAGAGTATAGCTACCTGCAGAGAGAAGAAATTCCTCTTCTTACCTTACTGTCCAAGGACAATGTGCTTAAAAACAGGTGTTCAACACTTGTATCATCGCAGAATGAAGTTTAACCAATACTGCTGTTTTAAAACCAGTGTATGATTATGTCTTGTATGTTTAAGGTAATGCTATGTGTTATTTGTTGTTACTTCTGCTGAGGCTGTGTCCCAGATGTTGCAGTCCCATTTTATAAGGCTGAGAACATCCTGCAGATATTTTTATATGTCAGCTCTTCAATTTGTTATCTAAGTAGCCAATAGTGTTGTTAACTTACATAAAACTTATGTTTTAGAAAGTAGATACATTTATTCTTTAACCTTTCTGTGAACACTTAAGTTTAGCGAGTGATGCAAGCACATCTGTCTAACAGTGCCAAAGAAAACACATCACTTGACTTATGAACTTATGGTCATAGGCTTTAGAAGTAAGAAAGAAAAATCTGTATTACTCTAATGATGCCTATATTGTGCCCAGGCATGGAATCGCATTACGTCAAGCAAGTCTTGCAGTAGTGAGACAAGTCATGGGAAACTTTCCCATGGAAATCCCAATCCTAAATTGCCACTGACAAAAGGGCATCCTATTTACGAAAGAAAGCAAGAAACAAGTTGGAGAAAGCCTGAGAAGCAAAATGTTTTCACAGTGACATTTAGCATGAAGTAAAACAAACACTTTCTCAGGCCAGTTTTTCAACTTTCTTTTTTTTTCTTTTTACAGTGGATGGAACTGAGGTTTAACACTCTGGCAAAATGCCCACACTGCAAAAAAATGTAAGTTACATAAATTAAGCTTCAAATATGTTGCCAAATTTTCTTCTGCAGAAGTCCCTGGAGTGAGATGTCCGCCATGCCTATTACTTTGCCACGTTCAGCTGAATTTCAAGACTGAAGAGCATGTTATGTGCACATGAATTCTCCCCTCAGCTCAGTAACTTGGCCAGAGCAAACCTGCATTTCCTAATGCTCAGATTGAATTGTCAGAGGTGAAAGTAAGCTGCTCACCATTGACAGAACTGGGTTACTAAAATTAACAACTTAGGGGTTTTTTTTTATGTCCTTGAAATTTTACGGCTTCGTGTAGTTAATCAGATGTCATGTTTGAACCTACAGTTTAATTTGACTTGTCTGAAAGAAGGAAAGGAAACAATCTATTAATTTGAGAGATTTCATTCATTTCAAACTCAACTAATTTGTGCTAAGCATCTTATGGTACAGTGAATGGTTGTGGATTGCTATGCTATGCTTTGTCTGTTCTTTTGACATTACCTCAGTAAGGAGGAGATGTCACTTGCATCAAAACGAAGAAGTAAAGCAGAACACGAGGCTCTTAAGAGGAGGGTTGTTTGTTTATTTAGTATTAATGATAGTAAAAACGATTCTGCAAACATACGTTAATTTTACATACCTTAATTTTGTGTGAAATCTCAACCATGGGGTGTGAAATAGGACTTACTTGTCTTGCTGATTGTTTGAAGATTTGCCTTCCCTTAATAGACAAGTGCTATTTCCAGTTAAAGGAGTGTATGTATCTATCCTGGGATGGGAGAACCATGCATCTGTATTGCATGTTCTAGGAAACCTGGCAGGTTCCTCGGGAAGCAGAATATGATAAATGTATCTTTGGTGGTGTTATAGCAAGGCCTGGCCCTCAAAAGTGATGGAAATCTGTTACTGAAGTATTTGGTAAAGAAATCAGTCTGGTGATGCACTCAGCCTCAGGCATGTAATTGGGCACGGAGTAGTGATCATGACATAGTTTGCCTAGATCAGGTGAACTTGGGATCTTGATAAGATGCTGCTTTTCAGGGTACTGTCAGGGTTTCTTGTTTTACATTCAGGGTTTACTTTTCCCTTTTCAGTTTTATAACTAATCACAATGTTAATTATTTTTCAATATTTAACACCTGCTAGCTGAGCCTATTTCCAAAAATGTGGGTGGTTTAGAGAAGGCTTCTAGAATCCTTCTTGTTTAATGATAGAGAAGAGGAATTATTTTTTTTTCCTTAAGCACTTACTGTGCTTAAGGTCTAACATAATGATGAAGACCCCTGATAAACTTACATCTTTCCATCCTAAAGTCTATAGGAACGTAAGGAGAAACCTCCCTTGAGGTTTTTTCCTTTTACAGTTATCCCCTCAAACTGCTTTGGCTTTGGTGTCTTTTATATCTGTTGTTGGTGCTGCCCAAGGGCCTCTCAGGCACCTTTGCTTCCTTAGCAGCAGCTCGGAGGAAAAGAGCTGCCTCCCAGAAGCCTTTGGAGTGAGTCCACTCTAACTAGTCAACAAATAAAAGCAGCTGCTTTTGATATATTTGTTTAATATTTTTAAATGCTGTTCCTTACCCCAGTTTAATAGTTCTGAATATGCATGTCAGGCTTGTTGTTCATAGATTATTTGGGGGTGGAATTTCAGCTCTCTATTTGCAGCTAGTTTGTTTTTTTTTGTATAATTTGGAATGGATAACAAAAAGCTTCACTACTTAAAGTGGGCAGTGGTGGGTGCCACTGCTTGGAGGCAAAAAGTGCCTAATGTGTTTGCCCAGCCTGGGTGTGCCAGGTCATAGAATCTTCCTATGTCCATTTGAACCTTTCTTTCTGTGGAGGGAAGCAAAGGACTTGCAATTAAATGAAGCCTTTTTTTATTCCTTTTTTTTTTTTTTTTTTATTATGTGAAAGGATAACTTCATCTCCTCCTGCAGCCTGTTTTATTTGATAGGAGGGGCAGAGCTTGAAGGAAATATAGAAGGAAAATAAACATGGCAGCTTCAATGCTGTGGTTGCGAAAACAAGCTCAGGAGTTGGGCAACTCCAGAAGTAACGATTTTTCCCGAAATGAACCATGTCTCTGTGTGGAATATGCAGTGCAGTAAAAGTAATGCACATTTTAGATGGAGTAGAGATGACACTTCTACCAGCTTATTGCTTGATTAATGCATGTTTTGAAGTATTAGGCTCTAGTAAAATGAATGTGCTGAGTGTGTAGCTAGGAAAGTTTACAAGGGGAACTTCAGTTCAATTTGGCAAGCTCAGTACTCGTCACTTGAAGTTTTGGAACCTGCTC